ACATTGTAAAATACTGGTAAGACAGGTTCATTTAATCAAATGAATCTCGACCAAGAAGAAATCAAAAACCAGGCAAGGTTTTGGAGATGTAAGTCAAGTTTCCGCTCACAATATGTATTATTTAACCATCTGTCATGGATATGCAGTCACTGTACATTTCAGAACCCTTGAAAACAAGAGGAAGAAAGGCAGGCAAATATACTGGAAAGCGTTCTAATCCCATGACCAAGGGAAAAAAAAGAAGTCAAATAATTTGTTACATAACTAGTTTGAAATTTATCATTTCTGTGGAGTCCTACTCTGCATTTCAAGAAAATAGTTAAAAGAAGTAGTAGTAACTACAGGACTGTCATTTTCAGTTCTGCTATCAGAATATTATAAAAATATTATAATTTTTTATTTAATTAATTATTTTAAGCATTAATAATAGCTTAGCATTGCTAGCAGGTCGAGAGAGCTGATCCTGTCCCTCTACTCAGCCCAGGTGAGGCTTCACCTGGTGTGCTGTATCCAATTCTGGGCTCCTCAGAACAAGAGAGACATGGAGCTACTGGAGTGAGTCCAACAGAGGGCTGTGAAGGTGATGAGGGGACTGGAGCATCTCTTTTATGAGGAAAGGCTGAGGGAACTGGGCCTGTTCAGCCTCGAGAGGAAATGACTGAGAGGAGACTCCTCAATGTATACAAGTATCTGATATGAGCGTGTCAAGAGGACATTTTTTGTATAGCCAGGCTGTTCTCAGTGGTGCTGAGTCCCTGACTGGGACAAGAGGCAATGGGCAGAAACTGGAACACTGGAAGTTGAGGAAGAATTTCTTTACTGTGCGGGTGACTGTGCACTGCAACAGATTGCCCAGAGAGGTTGTGGAGATGCCTTCTCCAGAGATATTCAAAAGCTGTCTGCACGTTCCTTAGTACGGTTGTTCTAGGGGACCCTGCTTGAGCAAGGAGATTGGACTAGATGACCACCAGTGGCCTCATCCAACCTTTACTATCCTATGTAATTCTGCGAACAAGAAAGGATATGAAAGAGACTGAAAACAACTTTTTCACAACTTGAAAAAAAGAGAAAGCCTTACAGAAACTTAGAACTTTATCAGTTCAATTTTACTGGGATAACCAAAAGGGAGATGAAAGGTGACTTTGTTAGGATGTGCATGTATCTCATCCGGGGAAAATAAAACTTAATAAAGAATTAAGTCACCTAAGGTATGCACAATAGTGATGAATTGAAATTAAAGCCATAAAATACAAAATAAGCTACCTATCCATAAAATTAAAGTGGCCAGCTACTGGAACAAAAAAAAAAAAAAAGCCAACATATTTACAGATGAGGACTATGTGCTTATTTTCTTCAACAGACTGCAATTGTTTGGTTTAAATTCCACTTGTTTGGCTCAAAACTGGATTAACCAGGTAAAGATTTATGGCTCATGTTACATGGGAAATCTAAGTCACTAAAGTCATGATTATAACTGACCTTTGACAACTGTGATTCTGTGATTTTTAGGTTTTAGAAAACAGACATTTACTGTTAATGACATAGAAGATATGAAGAAAGCATCATACACGTTTTGTTCTATTCTCCCTTGATCTGAATCTAACAAATCTGGGGCAGAATACGGAGCTTGTAGATGTGTATGCAATTTGAGTAAAGCAGTTCTATATACAAGTCACTACTATAATAACCTAGCATTTTATTACTGTGTCAGCCAAGTAAATGCCTTTGTTCTTCATAACCTTAGAAGTGTGGTGGGGGGAAACAGTTTTCCCCCTAGAGTTATAAAATGGTAAACCCCCAGGGGGTGGTGACCCTTGGGATTGATCCAATCAGTGCTCCTGCAAAATATAAACATATCACAAACAGACCAGAAAAGAAGGTAGTAGTTGTTGTTGGAGGAGAGTGGCCATGTTGTAAAGCCACGAGGAGAAGGGGCAGGAGCCCCTCTGGAGGGCCACAGCCCCCCAGCCCCCAGCTGTGGGTCATAGAAACTCAGAAACAGTGTTAAACTGGACTGAGATCTATGACTTGAGAAGCTGGGAGTTTTTCTCCACTGGGAGTGGACAACAGGAGCAGCGGCGGCAGAAGCAGCAGCGTACGGAGGGCAGAGAGCCAAGAGATAAGGGAGAAGCAGCAGAAGCCAGCATGCAGCCAAGGAAGACACAGATATCTCTGATGGAGAGAGAGAGAGCAGAACTAATCTCTATGGACAGAGTTGTGGGTAAGAACTGAAAACCAAAACTCCCCAACTCCTTGGAGACTTCTGCTCTCATAGAGAGGAGGGGTGATGGACTCCCACCTGAGAGGAGTCCTAAAATGCAGCACCAGAGAGACAGAGAAGAGCTAAGAAGCTCAGGCATCCTGGAAAGCTGAACCGGGATGGCCAAAGGAATGCAGAGGGGGTGACCTTGGCCCCCCTCACTGCTGCTGAGAAGCTGGCAGCCTGAGAGCAGAGCACAGAAGCTCTACCAGGGAGCTTGAATCCCCTGAAGATAGGGACCATCATGAAGGCTCCTGGACTTCGTTGATATGACGTGGTGAAGTGACCTTTATCCCGGTGAACACAGCCCATGGAAGAGAAGACCCTTGCTGGAGTCGAAGGACCAAGAGGGGCTTGGAGACCCCCTCGTGTGTACTGGCAGAGATCCAGCTACAGCGGCTGCATGGAAGAAGAGAGCCTGCTGCCCTAAAGACACTACTGCTCTGAGAGTGGAAAGGATCTTTTCTTTCTTCCCTCCTGGACTTTTATTTGGAGGAAGAAGTGATTTGATCCATTGTAAATACTGCTTTATCATAGTAGAGATAGTTGAGATTGTATATGATGTATTATAATATATATTTGTACAGTGCATTGTAATATATTCCCTTCCCCCCATTTTAAGTCTCATGTGGTGTCTGGAAAACCCATCTCACACTGGGTTGAGATGTGGGAGGGAGGCTTGGACTAGGGAATTGGATTTTGGGGCTCTCAAACCACGACAAAAGTCATCTATCCTGAGATTTTTGAGTGGTTATCACTATCCTCTCCTCTCCAGTACCATCAGTATGTAAAGGACTCAAACCTAGTCCTGGAAAGGAGCTACTGTATGGCCTACACTGTGGGTGGGTAATACTTAATAATGAAGATACTGAAAGATGATTTAGTAAGCTGATGAATGGTGATAGACAGCTACTTAATTGCAAAGGAGAAACTTAATTCACTACTGAAGTGTCATTATTTAAGGAATGCTTGTCTGTTCAACAGGCATCTACTTAACAGGGATGTTATTAAAGCTAAATTACAGCAAAGCTGTGAGACATCTCCATCTAAATAAGACAGGCAAGTCAAAATGAGTGATGAGATACTCATTTTACAAATTTTTAGCTAAGCCATTTATTATAATTACTATTGGATGCTATGGCTTTCATTGCTTTATTTGTCACTTCATGTGTGGAGCCACCTGACTTGTATTTTGTTGTTCTAAATAAATAACTAATATAGAAATTTTTTTTATGTAAACAATTATTTAGTTGAAGAAGTGATATGAAAACAGGAAGAGTTGTGAAGCAACAGAAATCAGGGTTTAATAGGAGTTAAATTAATCTCAACTGTTAGGTGAAAATAGGCCCATGAAAATACCTATCTTAAATATTGTCTCTTATGGTTGCAACAGAAAAGCTTTAAAATGTAATAAAATTGCTACCTGAAAGATATAAAGAATATGTAAGAAAAGATATTAAAACTCTTCTCTTGCTATTATTTAAATCTAGCTGGGTTTTAGGGCAAGCTTTTGTTTGGAGCAGAGAGAAGTTACATATTAATATAAAGAGCAGATCACAGTAATACCAATCTTGATAACAAAACTTGTATCAAAACAATATCTGATCCACCCAAACCCTTAAAAACATGGAGAATAGAAATTTATGGGAAAGTCAATTGCTCCAAAGCAATCATGTAGTTTTAAACATCTAATGCAGAATTCCTATGTGTTTCTGGCAGCTCCTTTGAAGAAGCTGTTTCTCTAAAAACACTGTGGAATTCATCTAAGAGACTAACGTTACAAGAATTACCTTTTCACACTAATAGCCTTAAAATTTGTTTTAATACTTAGGTTCCAAATATGCCAAAACCTAGCAGGTTTTAGTGCTTTCTTGCCTAATATTAGACAAAGCAAATCCCACTTCCTTCCCTGCCTGCTTGTTGCACACACAACAGCAAACTAAGTGGGTACAGTTCCTAAAAAATGCCCACTGCAAAGCAAGTACTTTATAGGCTCTGCAACGCCCACCTGCTTTGGCTCCATCAGACAACAGGAAATTCCTGGAAGCCTGTCAGAGCCAGACTAGTAGTTCCCCCTCCCTCATCCTCCACTCCATTCCCCCACTCTCCGCTACCAAAACTTTGCCACACACCCTCCATGCACTGGGCTAGTGACTTTGATGCTATTTTTGTTGCAAATACAAGCTATGAGAAGCCAGAGGATAGTGTTCACACCCCTCTGCATTAGGTAAGGAGGTTATTGAGGCCCAGAGCTGGAGGTTGGTCTTTTTATCAAAGAGAAAATGAAACTGAACTACTGATTTCTTTGTACTGAATGTGGATATTAATTTTATAGAATCAGATAGGTTGGAGAAGACCTTGAAGGTGAAGCCATGAAAATCTTGTGGCTTGGCAACAAAAACAACCAAAAGAAAGCATTTTATCCCTCCAAGTACAATGAGATGAGACCGCTACTTTAGATCCAATTCATTGAATTAATCAAAGCCTCCCTTTTCACTCCCACTTGATATTTCTACGAATCAAAGAATAAAATCCCACCATTGTTTCAGTGGCAGTAATGAGGACCCCCCTTCGCAGTACTCTGCCTGCTGAACCAGAGGCTGGGCCTGCAGAAGAATGTGCATGCCCAGGTTCTTTTTTCAAGGCACATGCTGTGTTCACAACACCAAAGAAGCATAACAAACTTTGGATAATGTTTTCATAAAGACAAAGGACAAAATGGAATGAACTTTGGTTTAATGACTTAATAAATGCAAAAAGACAAAATATAGAACGTAACACCAAACCTCTTACAGTAACTAATCAAAATCTCTTTCTAATAGACTAAACAGGAAAAAACCTCAACCCTAAAAGCTTAAAAACCAGCCTAATTTACATCAACTCCTATTTACATCTAACTTTTGCTAGCCCCAGACAACCCCTAATTTGGTCTTTTCTTCTTGGGGTGAGGCTCATCTTCCTTCTGTGGGCGATGGCTTCTCTCATGTCTGTTCCTTTCCCTCATTGTTTCAAACACCCTGGAAGTTAGGAAACAAAGCAGCATTTTGAATTTCTTTATTTTTAATTCAAAAACATCATTAAACCAAGCTTGAAGATTTCCATTTTTAAGAATTTCCATCTTTTGGGGATTTGACACATTCTTAATTTGATAGGCACCATGAAACTGAGCTTTGTTATTTCAACTCTTTCAAATTTCTCTTTCTTTTCAGTACATCATATTTTTAATCTGATTAACTCCATTAAACCAAGTTTTGGTGTTCCCACTTCTGTGAACTCTGTCTTGTCGGGACACAGCAAGGGTTCATTCTGAATGCTGAGGGTTAAATAAGCTGGTTGGGGTTAAAGTGAGTTGTAATGTTGAACACAGCTGTGAGAGGTGATCCTCCAACTGCCTTAGAAAAGTTCAGTCTGTTTTAGTCTAAAGCAGCAGGGTTTTAGCAGAAGGAAGAATAAGTGTCACACCGTTTGCATGTCCCACACGGAAATGGGCCTCCTGCTGAGCGAGGTGGCTGTGGCGGTTTGCAGCATGGACATACAGTGCTGCGGGGCCTTCTTCGGCCTCTCTTCTCCATCTCCCCATTCTCCTCCTTGGGAGCGTTTTTGCTCCTCTTTGGTCTGCCCACAGTCTGAAAATCAAAGAGTCTTTATGAATTTTTCCTTCTTTTCAGAAAGCTGGAAATTAGAGTCTCCAGTACAAAAATGTATCAGCCCAAGCAAACTCCTCCAAACACTAAAGAGCTGAGAAAATGCCTGGATTGGGCTGCAAGGATGGGGAGCACACACAGCACTTGGAAGAAAAACCACCTCATTTCTACTGCCCAAAGTGGTGGGATAAATATGTAATTATCTATATAGCTACTTCTACATTTAGCATTTATATCTCTCTATTTATTATCTATTTATATATTTTTTTCCTCCACAAATGTCTAGGGAACAGGTTAAAAATTCAGTCAAATTACTGAAGATACACAGTTACCCAGTTTCTAGCACCCAAAATAATCTCTGTTTCTGCGAACCAAATTCCTGTTTGCTGGCAAGAAAAGTTTCACCAGAGCCGCAGCGCCAGCAGCTCCTTTTAGGGAGTGTGCTGGGATGCTAGGAAAGATCCTGAAAATCTGCAGCCTCTAGTTAAACACAACCAGGATTACTCATGTTAGGAAGTAGTGGGGAATTAAGGATCTGATTGAAATCAGTGAGGGTGACAGCACTTCTTGAAAAAAGTCTGTAAGGAGTCAAAGCCCATTTTGGTGATAGCATGGCTTTGTTGGGTTAAAGTTATTCTACAGAATTCAGTATTTCTAAGCAGCAATGGAATAAAGCCCTGGGCAGCATCTGCTGTGCCTTTCCCAGTGCACAGGGTGATGTGTTCCTGGCAGAGCAGCATCTTGCAAGCCCTCCCAGCAGGTTTTCTCCCCTTTTCCCAACCTCTTGACCCTCCTTACATTTCTTGATTTTTTTCCCACTCACCTGAGTAGGAGGGGGAGCAATCCTACGTTCTTTTTTCCAGGAGTAGTAATACTCCACACACTGTGCCACGGTCTTACTTTGAATCTATTGTGAGACAACAGAAGGAATCTAAAATGGCAATCTTGTACTGTGCATTGGAGAAAAATTAGAGTATGGAGTAAAATAGCAAGTAAAAAAGTGGAGCAAAAGGAATAGGAAGTAAAATTAAATAAATAGGGAGTAAAGTAGGTATTATGCAATGTAGTTAAACGTATTATGCCATATAGCAAAACATTTAAGGGATAGATCAACAGCAAATCCATCTAGCACAATATTTGTTTTCCCCATTCTCTCCGGTTATCCCACTGCAATATGCCATGGAAGTGTCAGCACACATATAGGAGAGGTCTGACAGAAAATAAACCTTCCTGTTCCAAAAAAGCTTGGAAAAAAGGGCTGGAAGGGCAGAATCACACCTTTCACACAGGCAGTCAGTGTACCATTTTGTTATTATTTTAATACTTCTGGTATTTGAGAAGAGAGATACTGAATTCTGGTATTTGGTACTAGAAATAATCAACATTCCATTGTAATTGTCCATTAGGGCAAATAATGTCCAGTGGCTTTACCTCCTTCTGGATGAGATGAAAATCCTTCCCATAGGTGTGAAAAGCCATTTGAAATGACTCCTTCTCATGAGGTGTCCATATATCAGAGCCTGGCAATAAAAAGCAACAGGTAAATTGATCACTCTACCAATTTGAAATAGATCCCTCTGGTAAAACAGATCACTTGCAGCCGAAGAGAAATCAGCATCATTCATTATTCAATTATCGACATATCTCCTTTGGAAGGCAATGAAGACAAGAACAGGCATTCCCCAGGGAAAAAAGCACAGAAAACAAATAAAACTGAAGGGGTAGATGCTGCTGCTTTTCCTACCCCCAAAGAACATGAGACCTTGTTCTCATGTTACTTTTTTAACAACAAATCCTTGACATGGCAATTAAGTGGATGGCAGTATCTGTCAGCAAAGGAACAAGCTCTACTTCAGTTACCTGCATAATGATAATCAGCCAAGGGATGGCCTTGAGGTGTCTGAGGCCCCCCTGACCGGAACATCTCCAGAGCCTCCTGCAGGATTGAGGAGAAAAAGACTTTAGCATCCCAACCACAAGGAACCAAAAAGGTAAATGCTTTCTTTCAGCTAATTTCACTTCAGTGATTCAGTCTGCTGGAGGAAGATTTTGATTATATTGGTAAAACCTTGTGATTTTGCTCCTCAGCCCTTCAATTCCACTCTCCAATATCATGATTTTGCTCACCAACCCAATGATTTTACTCATCTTGCATCCAGGATCACCTCAGCCCACTGAGGCTTTTGGAAATTTTTCCTCAATCCACACCAAAATGTCTTAGAGAATACAGATCCCCAGGAGATTTTAAGGGAGCAAGCTGAGGGACCCTTCACCAGTGCCTCCAGGAGAGGCTTTCCCCCTGCTTGAGCCATTTTGGGCTCTTCCCTGCTGCAGCGCCTGGGCTGGCAGAGCCTCCTCATGGAGACAACACATGGCAAGTGCTCCTTGTTAAATCCCTTCTTCAAAGAGCAGGCAGCAAAGGCTGTCCCAGTCCCCAGTCCTTATTAATTTCCTGTCCATTAATTCCCCTGTTCATTCCATCCAAATATCTGCTTCTTACCGCAACATTGCCCTGCGCCTCGTGCAGGCAGTGTAGGGCAAGCTCCAGGTTAGCTGCTGCCCCAGGAATGCCACTGGAGATGGCCATATCAAGCAGATCTCTCACTGCAAGCAAAATAAAAACCCACGGAAAGTCAGGTTTGGGCAAAGAAAGGGGAAAAGTTGCGTTACAAGGGAGAAGGAAAGCAGAAGAGCTGAAGATAGACTGAAGAACAGGAAAAGGCTGGGAAGAAAGGCTGAGATGTCCCAAGGATGTGCTGTCTCTCTCTTAAAAGCAATGGTAATGGAAGCGGGGATAAATCTCCCCTCTTTCAGAGTTGTTGGCCAGTGACAAATGCCCTTGAGCATAAAAGTTGTTCTTTTTGCTGGTCTACTAAAAGTGAGCAATCTCCTTCCCTCTAACACTACAATGTGGAAAGATGGGAGAGACAAGAAGAGCAGTGAAGCATGCAGGAAGCTTCTTTTTTACCAAAAAATGAGGGATTTTCAAACCCAAGTATCCCAGGGGTGGAAAAAAAGCATGCAGATACCTTTGTCATGCGTTTCCATGTCAGAATCAGTGTCCTCCCATGGCTTCCAGACCAGGGATGCGTGTTCTTCATCCTCAGTTGGGGGTCTGGCCTGCAGCTCAGGGAGCTCAGCCTGAAAGTCACTGCCAACATTGATGTGTCTGAAGGAAGAAGTGGAGGTGAGAAAGGCAAGTGGTGAAGAGAACATCCCATGGACCCATGAGTTTGAACCAATCCCACTCTGACTGTGAAACAGCAGTTCCCTCCTCGCCATTCCCCAGATTTGCTGTCCTTTAATCACTATGCCAGAACTCACGGCTTAATGCGGACTCTTGTTTTCCTCTTCATTTTCCCTCTCCTTTCCACCTGAAAGAGATCAAAACAATACTCCAGGTAAAAATCATTCTGCCCACACTGCCCTGTAGACTTCCTTCTCATCCTTATTGTTGCAAACCACTAGCTATTCTCTCTGAATTCCCCTCAGTTTGGTGTAATTGCTGAGTTTTTCACTTGGAACTTCTAAGGAGAGACCTCATAGCAGTCTGCAGCTTCCTCACGAGGGGAAACGGAGGGGCAGGCACTGATCTCTTCTCTCTAGTGACAAGTAACAGGACTGAAGGAAGCTGAGTCAGGGGAGCTTTAGGCTGGATATTAGAAAAAGGTTCTTCATCAGAGGGTGGTTGGGCACTGGAACAGGCTCCTCAGGGAAGTGGTCACATCACCAAGCTTGACAGTGCTCAAGAAGCATTTGGACTATAATCTCAAGCACTTGGTGTGATTTTGGGGGGTGACTCAATGATCCTTGTGGGTCCCTTCCAACTCAGAAGATTCTGTGATTCTGTTCCTGAGAGGAACTATTCAGGATGGGATTTCACAGCTGCCTCTGACCATGGGGCAGAACCAGCCCCACAGGGATTGAAAAACATGGAGAAATTTATACAAATATCTATCTAGAAAAGATATTCAATATATGTAAAAATAAAAAGTCTATATACATATATTAAAATAGAACATATCTATAATTTATATACAAATATAAATACAAATTTAAATTTTATATAAATATACAAATATAATAATCATTAAAACCAGAACATTTTGGGGGGTCAAAGCCAGTATTGGAGGACAAGCCCAGTAAAGTGGTTGCATCCCATGCACAACAGGAATTGCAGAGGAGAAGTCACATAATTCTGTTTTTTTAAGCTTTGGAGAAGCTGTGGGCAGAGTCAGGGCTTAATGGTATTTGCTGACACAACTCCTGAACTCCTCAGTAATGACAGGATTGTTTTGGGGTAACCACAATGTAGTTTTACTACTTAAAGAGGTACCAAGAACTGGTAATCAGATCATCAGTGGACGAGGATCTGAAACTGCACCATGACATCTCCCTAACTCCTCTATTGAAATGTCCACATTTCCACTGGAGGCATAATTATTCCTAGAGAAGGTGGACCCCACTTTAATTTATAACCTCTTCTGGGGAAAGCAACCATAGATCATGTGGTGGTCGGTGGGACAGCCAGCTGGACTCTCCTGCACTTCTGATACCAGTTTAAGGGCAAACAAGGATTTTCTTACCTTTGACAGCCCTGAAGCAATTCTAGGAGCACAGGAGGAGATGAGAATGTTGACCCAGAAGCCAGATCCGGGGCTGAGGCTAGGAGCTGGCTGTTTAGAGAAAGCCCAGGACCAGATCCTGCAGCTGCTGCTCCACCAGTGATCCACCTGTGTTCCACCAACGGCTGCAGGAGCAGCAACAACGGTTGCTGGGGCACAAGCCCAGCATTCCATATAGAACCCCAGGGAACCCAACGGGGATAAATAACGGTTGTGCTACCTTTGCTTCTTTTAATTCTTCTGTGGCGAGTTTGCTTTGAGGACCTTCCCATCAGGGCATGCCTCGGGAGTCCCCTGGACAGGGGAAAGCAGTGCAGGGAAGGCTCTCTCTGTTCTCTGTGCTGCTCTGTAAAGTGCCTCCAGCTGAGCATGCACAGGATCCTGACTCCATCAAAGAGACAATACCACATTACCTGAACTGGAGAACTAGAAGAACTCTTGGAGCTGGGTCTCCTCTGACTCTGAGATGATGCAAGTCATTTAGTGGAGAATCAATTCTGAAGCTTTCTCTCTAAGTGGAGACATTCATCCTGCTCCCTTTCTAAGTTGTCTGGTGCCTAACAATGTTGCAAGTTTTCTCTCCTTTGGGGCACTAAATTGGTCTCTCACCTCAGCACTCATTCCTTGAAACTTGGAGAAACAGGATATTTTTAAGGGGAATTGATGGGGACAGAAACATACGCACATATGGACACAATACCAGTAATTCCATAGGAAACATTTAATACAGAATTCCTATTTCTTTCTTCCAGCTCCTTTGAAGAAGCTTAATGTTCCTCTAAAAACACTACGGGATTCATCTAAGAGATTAACATTAAGAGAATTACTTTTTTAGATTAATAGCCTTAAAGTTTTAATACTTAGGTTCCAATTATTCCCAAACCCAGCATATTTTACTGCTTTCCTGCCTGATATTAGACAAAAGCAAATCTCACTTTCCTCCCAGTGAGCTTGTTGCACGCAACAGCAAACTAAGTGGCTAAAAGGCCTAAAAAAGCCCCACTGCGAAGCAGATACTTTGTAGACTCTACAAGTCCCTTCTTTTTCTTGCAGAAATCAATGACTGGAAAAGCAACATCCTTTCAAGCCCAGAGCTCCAGAAACGGCAAAGAACCTCCAAGTGATGAAGGGGCTTTTTCCTCTTCTATCTTTTCCAGACAAGGGATATCCCCAAAATTTAGTCGTGAAACTCTGATATTTTCTGCCTGATAAGAAATCTGGGGAAATTATTTTAATTTATTGCTAGTCAAACCAGAGTAGCATAAGGAGAAATAAACCCAAATCTGAATATCTCTCTCTCTTGCTGCAGTTGCACCATTTTTCCCCCTCCTTCTTAAATATGTTATCCCAGAGGTGCTTCCAGCTTCGTTTGCAATTCAGCCTCAGCCAGCAGCAGATTCATCTCGGATCCAGGTGGCACTGGCTCCATCAGACATGGGGAAACTTCTGGCAGCTTCTCAGAGAAGCCAGCTGGGTAGTTCCCCATGTGGAGTGCAATCAGAAGACCATCAGCTCTCATCTTTGATCTAGGGAAGCCATGAGCTGTGTTTGTGAGAGCAAGAGCCACAAAAAAAACCTGCAGGGTTTTTAATCAGAAAGCGCTGAAATAATTGAAATAATAAATTTAGACTTTGTCCTGTAATCTGCTAAATTACTGAGTAAAATCCAAAATATTTTCCTTGGCGTTGTAGCTGTTGGTACTTCCCATGTCACTTTTCTTTATGCAATTTACAGGTTACATATAATTATTATGCCAATAAATAATTGCAATACTAAGTTATGTATTTTATTATTTATTATTTATCATTTATTATTCCAGTCCATACCATGGAACCTTCACCAGGCCCATTATTGCAGGATCAAGTCTATCACTATAATGTTATGTAAGTATATTTGGCATATCTGAGTTTATTTGGGGTGTAAAAGAGTCATAATGTTAAGATGTGGGCTAAGTGAAACTCGCAGACTGTTTGTACATTAGAATACCGGAGGAACTTCATTGCCACCCACCTTGTTGCCTGCACGCCAGGGTGCAACTGACACCAGCACAGAGATAGAGATCTCCAGTGGAGCCATGGTTTCATCCTTGAAAGGCACTCAGCGTTTCAGGGGGCATTTTCCATCTCCCACTGCCTCCAGCAACAGCTCCTGAGTGTTAACGTTTCTGGTGTCATGTACCATAACACAAAAAAGGGGGATCAGCCATCCAAGGACTTCAGGTCCTTTGCAAATCATTCTTAGGCCTTACAAATTTTTTCTTCATTATATAAAATAGTAATGATAATATGAGCTACTACACCAAATTTCTCTGAGCATAATGTAATTTAGAGAGAGCCCGGGGCAGGAAACCTTAGTGTACCAATTCCTTGTCTTTGTTTTTACAAAACTGAGCTTGCTATTAGGTAGAAGTGATATTTTTCACTCCTATATTTCACAGCAAAAAATGGTAAAAAAAATCCAGAAACAATAACATTATATGGAAGAAAAAGACATAGACATTTCTAGTACTCACCACTTTTTTTAATTAGAAAGTAATTTTGTGTAGTTGAGTGAGGACACAGAATAAGGTGGAGGAATTTGGCTATTGGGAGCAGAAATTGGACGTCATTATATTCTTAGGATGGTACATTCTTCATATAATATACATAATACAGTTGGGAAGGATTACAGGAAAGTTGAGATTTTTTTCAGCAATGAAGGTATGAATTAAAACACTCTAAATCACAGACACAGCATTTTTGCTTAAACAGTAAAGGATGACAGATGACTTCAAAAATATAGAGATAATAAGCTTAGATATTTTGGCATTAAATTTCCAAAGAAGGAGGACCTATCTCAATGAAATATGGAATAGCAATTGCTTACTCTCTGGAAATGTGAAAACATTATTACCGGTGAAATGACCTAGTGAATGCCTCGACTTTAAATGTATAGTTGGATTTTAGCATCTCTTTTTCATGAATCTCTCTTAATCCATAGAATCTTGAAGAACTCTACAAAATAATTAAACAATTCCTAAAAGTTAAATTGTAAGTTAATACACAAAATAGAACAACTGAAAGAATGCTATGGTAGGACAAATCAGGACAGTGGTGTCACAGAACTCCTAGAGGAAATGTTTCTTCAGAAACACTGATAGAACAGAACTTACTGACCTCAATCCTGTAATGTAGCTCAGGCCAAAACATTCAGTTTTGCATTGTGTTATTTCAATGCTATGCTTTTAAAAGACAAAATTCAAAGTCTCTAAATTTATGAAGTATGGATTGCAAACATAAACCAATAGCAAAAGATTAGAAGGAGCTGAATCACAATATCAAAATTAACCGGACAGCACAAGTTCAGTACTACTCGTTTCATGGAACATTTTAATCTTTATACAATTTCCTAGTACTGTTGTCCCAGATATCAATGTGAAATGTAAAATTACACAGGCCCTACTTTATACAGGACATATTGGAGAAGGGAGAGTTCATGTAGGGCTGTAAAACTGACATGGAAATGAATTTTGCAACAGCATTCTGGGAAGATAGGAGCAGTGAAACATGGATTATTCAGGGAAAGGTTATTACAATAAATGAGATACTAGATGATGAAAGCCTTGCTGAGGGTTTTTAGCTGTTAGGGTGGATAAGAAAGGGGGCAACTCTAACTGAGTATTACTAACTTTTTGCTTCACTTTATGTTCCATTGCAAATGCTTGACAGAATCATTGAACAAGCTTATTTTTTGGATGGGACATCTGTGTGAAGCTGCAGTGCTTTTTTTACTCAGTTCATGTAATACTGACTCTCTTGTATTTTTCACATAAATCTTCATCTGAATTAAAAATCAAATATATTATTTTGCTGACTGTGTTTTCTCAGTATTTCTGCAATACTCCAATAGATACCCTTTTCCAGAAATAGGAACAGTATTGTTTGGTTGTTAAATGTTGCTCAAATGTTAAGTGCATCTCACAACATGGGCATGGGCATGAAGTAGAAAGCATACAATTTCTTTAACCTGTTACTGTGAATATTACAAATCAAAGAAGAAATGTTTTACAATGCAATTACCCTTTTGAGTAGAAATTCTGCAAAATCAGTCTGCTTAATTCAAAATGTTGCACTTTGTGTTCTGTATCACATTTGGGTTCTATAGTATTAATATTTTCATTGACTGTAGACATGGATTTTCTTTTGAGTCATACAGCATGAAAAAAATAAGCAATTTGGAGTTACAGTCAGAGCTTTTATCCAAAAATATGAATGCCAAGATTTGAGTCTGAGAATATACTTCTCTATACATTTTCTAAAAGATGTTTAACAAGCTGGCACCATGTTTCAAAATTAGTTTCTTTACACCAATTGGATCACATAGCTTCTGGTGACTTTTGTTTTACTGAGCTTAATGAAAGTGACATCTCATCTGTGAAACCAGACACACCTACCAAAGGCTAACATAAAAACATTGGAAAAGAGTTTAGGGTTTTCAAGGCAAATGTGCTTTGCGAACAAAAATAATAGTTTACTATCCCATCTTTTGGTGACCACTTTCAAGTATTTAAACTATGCTGCTAGTCTCTAGATATTGATAGTCTAGGATATTGATAGTGCACTAGTAGATGAAAAATTAAATCTTAATTTCTGCTAAAAATGCCATGAGACTTATCAAAGGATAATATTTGTAATACCTGGTTATGAGCTACACTCCAGCACTACTTTCAGTAGTTCAAGAAGTTTACAGTTATTTTAGGCTTCTATTTTAGGTTCATAAATCTTTAATCCATAAGTCTTTATTAAAGGAGGGGGAAACTTGATTTGCATGAATTCACAGTATTTTAGTGGTACACGCATACTTCTAAATGTTTTTCTTTCTAAGAGAATAGAAGCTGGAGCAGAGCACTCTGCATGCACTGCAGTTCTACCACATGGAAATAATAGTACCATCCGATATTTGAAATTGTTTGGCAACTCAGTTTAATAGGTCTGCACTAAGTATGTACTCTATCTACCACTCTTTATCCACATAAATGCTAACAGTATTATCTGTTTCATCCTTATGGAAAGACTGAAACAAGAATATCCGTGGGAAAACATTCAGTTTCTCAGTGACCAGTGCATTTCAACAAGGACCTGCACATTTTCTCCCTAACACTTCAGATCTCTGTTTAGTAAAATGACGATTTGACATTTACAACTTTTAAGTTATCCTGAGCTTTGAATTTTCAAGTGTGGCATAGAGATTGCTGCACATTTATACTCTGGTATTTCACAGGGAGTATTGTTCTGACTTTGCATACTTTTGAAACTATAGAAAAAGCAGTTATCTGTTTTAAATGGGGGACAAAGGTATGTGGCTCTAGTAAGAAAATTCTTCCTCATGAATTGCATGTTTTCTTATCATGTAACCTGAATAACTTTTGGCTTTTGAGCTAATAATGCAGGTTTGCTTCCCTTTTATGCAAGGCTTCAGAGAGCCAGATTTTTTTTTCAAAGGTAGAAAGATATATAGGATTTTTCCTTAGTTTTGGTATATTTCCAGTGAGGTTTCTTTCAACCACTGAATGAACTAACTTTTGGTAACTTTATATGTTAAAGATTTTAATTCCAAGACTTTTGTAAACAAGAGACCAGGGTCACAATAAAATGACTGATCTGGTTCCTGTGTTCTGTTTCGTTCCAGCAATCAGATTTAGTGACATGCCTGCGTCCTTTGCTTTCTCCTACTCCCCACTTTTTAAAACAAATCTGTCCCAATAAGGAATCAGCACAAAATGGAATCAATGTTGAAATACTTTCCTCCAGAGATCTGCAGTGCTTTAAGGAAACAATACTTTTTGTCTTAAAAGTGTGCACTAAGCTACTGTTACTGAAAAGAGAGAGCAATTACTACATTTTTACTGTTAAATATATTACTTTTCTATTTGACTTTACATCTGAACAGGCACAAGTTTAATAAAAATTTTGTTTATGTTTTTCTTCTACTTCAGAGAAAGCCTAACCTGCATGCTAAAATCTGTCATTTTTCATATCCATAATTTGCCCCTTCTGAAAAGAAGCCTCTGAAATTAATGAATGCATGGTTTTTTTAGTTCTGCCAAGACTTTTTATATTAAGGATATGATTAATAACATGTTATGAATGTCAAAGGGCAAATTCAAAAGAACAAGTTATTTATTAAAAAAAAAAAGGTATTTTTATATGAACCCTTGTGAAATA